CCAAGCTCTTTGTTACAGTGTAACAAGGGTGACCTTTGCTCCAGTTCCTAATAAGTTTCTCATTTCCATCTGAGACCTCATCAGCCTGGCCTTCACTGTTCATATTTTGATGAGTATTTTGGTCACAACCACTTAGCAAGTCTCTGAGAAGTTCCAAACTTTCCCTCATCTTCCTGTCTTCTTCTGAGACCTCTAAATTCTTCCAATTTCTGCCCCTTACCCAGTTCCAAAGCTGTTTCCACATCTTCAGGTATCTTTACAGCAACACCCCACTGTCAGTACCAATTTTCTATATTAGTACATTTTGCATTGTTATAAGAAATAATAAGAGACTGGGTAATTTATAAAGAAAAGAGGTTTATTTTGGATGATAAATCTTCAGATTGTACAAGAAGTGTAATGCCAGCATCTACTTCTGGTGAAAGCATTAGGAAGCTTTTAGTCATGGTGGAAAGTGAAGGGCAAACAGGCATATCACATGGCTGGAGACAGAGCAAAAGAGAGAGGGAAGAGGTCCCAGGCTCTTTTAAACAACCAGATCTCACATGAACTCATGGAGTGAGAACTCACTCATTACCACAAGGACAGCACCAAGCCATTCATGAAGAATCTGCCCCCATGACCCAAGTACCTCCCACTAGGCCCCACCTCCAACATTGGGAATCACACTTTAACATGAGATTTGGAAGAGACACACACCCAAATCATATCAAAATGTATTAGTTAAGGTTCTATTGAAATAATTTAGGAGAAGAAAAGATGATACATACCAGGTAAATGAGCAAGGAGCGATCAGATTATAAATCACTTTTGCATATATCATCTGTATTTATCTCTAAGAAACTTTGGAATTTTTAAACTTTGGAATTTTTTCTTCAGCTTGTATTTTAGCTTTAGAGGGTACATGTGTAAGTTTGTTACATAGATATATTGTGTGACACTGAGGTTTGGGGTATGAATCCCATCATCCAGGTGTTGAGCTTAGTACCCAAGCTTAGTACTCAGGAAATGCTCAAAACAGGAAGTTTTTCAATCCACACTTCTTTCCCTCCTTCCCCGCTCTAGTGGTCCCCAGTGTATATTGTTCCCATCTTTATGTCCATGTGTACTCGGTGTTTAGCTCCCACTTATAAATGAGAACATGTCATATTTTGTTTTCCGTTTCTGCATTAATTTGCTTAGAATAATGGCCTCTAGCTGCATCCATGTTGCTGCAAAGGACACAATTTTGTTTGTTTCTATGGCTGTGTGGTATTCCATGGTGTATATGTACTACATTTTCTTTATCCAATCCACCGTTGATATGAATCCAGGTTGATTCCATGTCTTTGCTATTGTGAATAGTGCTGCAATAAACATATAAGTGCATGTGTGTTTTTGGTAGAATAATTTATTTTCTTTTGGATATGTACCCAGTAATGGGATATAGCTCTGTTTTAAGTTCTTTGAGAAATCTTCAAACTGCTTGCCATGGTGGTTGAATTAATTTATATTCCAACAACAGTGTATAAGTATTCTCTTTACCCACAGCCTTGCCAGCATCAGTTATTTGTTGACTTTTTAATAACAGCCATTCTGACTGGTGTGAGATTGTATCTTATTGTGGTTTTGATTTGCATTTCTCTGATGATTAATGATGATGAACATTTTTTCATGTTTGTTGGCTGGCTGCTTGTATGTCTTCTTTTGAAAAGTGTTTGCTCATGTTCTTTGCCAATTTTTAAATGCGGTTATTTGTTTTTCTCTAGTTGGTTTAAGTTCCTTACAGATATTGAGTATTGGACCTTTGTTGGATTAATAGTTAGAGAACATTTTCTCCCATTTTGTAGGTTTTCCATTTACTCTGTCCGCAGCTTCTTTTGCTGTTCTGAAGAGCTCTTTAGTTTGATTGGGTTCCACTTGTTAATTTTTGATTTTTTAAACTGGATTTTTAAACCCCGTTTTACAGATGAGAAAACTGAGACTTAAAGAGACAAATTTTTAAGATCATAAAATTGGTAAGTGGTAAAACTAGGTCTTAAATGTAAGTCTTTTTAAAATTTTAAATCTCAACTTTATGTATATAATTGGTCAGTCACTGTGCTTGATGTGAAATATACAACTGTGAATAAGATGCAATTTCTGTCTTCTGGGACCTTATTGCTTGATGGGAAACAGATGAGTTTAAAATTTGCTTCAACGCAATCTGATAAGCTCTATGCTGATGATAGGTGCAGAAGGTGACATCAGTCCCAAGAAAGGGGAGGATTTTGGCAGGCAAAGATCAGGACAGCATCTAAGTGGAGAAATTGTATAAGCAATGACATGGAGGCTAGAAAGTTGTCCTGTTAAGTTGGAGTCTAGGGGCATTGTTGGAAACTGAGTTGGAAATGTACACTGAAGCCAGATCATGGAGGGCTTCTATGAGCATTCAACCAATACTTATTTTTTGGATGTACATCACGACAAGCTATTGTCTGAAATGCAGAGATTACAGCAGCAAACAAGACAAACAAAATCCTTGTTCTTATGGGCCTTACATTCCAGTAGGGAGAAAAAGACAATAAATGAGTAACATAAAAACAAGGTATCAAATATGAAAAGTGTTAAGAACATTGGCAGCACAAATGAGGAATATGTGGTAGAGAGTGATTGGGGTGATACCGTTTTAGAATAAATGCCAGAGAAAGCTTCTCTCACGAGGCAACTTTTTAACCAAGACCTGAATGAAATAAGGATTGAGCCACACCAAGATTGAGAAGAAGACTATTCTGATCAAAGAAATAGCTGGTTCAAAGGTCTCCAGGTGGGGATCAGTTTGTCCTGCTAGAATCATGGAAAGAAGGCCAGAGTGATGAGAAAAAAGTGATGCAGAGGAGAATGGTGAAAGATGAGGCTTTGCAGGGCCCCATCCTATAGGAAAGTCCTGAGAACAAAGCTGAATTTTATTCTCAATGTGGAGGGAAGCTACTGGGAATTTCAAGTAGGGAGTGGCACAATGTGGTCTACCTTTTTAAAAGGGATGGGGAGTCCCATCAGGAAGCTGTATTCTAGGAGAGGTGGCCTGGAGTGGGATGACGGGAGTAGAGATGAAAAGAATCATGGATTTGGGCTGTTTTGTATTTTGAGATAGAAAAAAAAGGACTTGGCATGTAGATGATGCACTGATTGTTGAGCAGCTTCCAGATTTTGAGTTCTTTCACCCTGATTCTCCACCTTCTGATTTAGTTTGCTGGGGAGAGTTTAAGTTACAGAGAATATTTGTGTAGGAGACTCTTCCTACACATGAACACATGTGTCATTTAAACAGCAGCCAACATATGGGCATTCTCACTGATCTTGAGGCCCAGGACAAGCCATGGCCCTTTGCATTTTTCTCTGTCCCCCAGAATCACAGTCCTAGCTTAGATGCCTTTCTTCTAAGTCCTTCTTAGGCCTCTTTCGCAGTCCTTCTAGGTATAGCTACTTACATCCTTGGTGTCATAACAGTAATTTTCTTATACTTATGACATTGTGCCTTGCATAATGGTTGTTTGCTGTATATATTGGTCTTACTATATTTTTATTTTCTTCAGGAAAGCAGCTATTATTATGAGTTATCATATTCTTCCTATGGTAAATACAACATTCCTATCTCCTTCTATATTTCCTAGACTTATTTGCAGCTAGAGTTCTAGATGTGAATTAATGTTTTTCCAGTTAAGCATATTTGCATGATATTTGCAAGGTGAAAGTGAGTTAGAGACCATCACACCAAGATTTTGGCTTTTTGTTTTTTTTGTAAATAAGGTTATAGAGACAGGTTGATAGGCAATTTTGGCAGCAATGTCAGAGGCTTCTGAATCACATGTTTCTGATTTTTGGATTGCAAGTCTGGTAATGTATTGAACTCAATAGTCCCTGGGGTTGATTTCTAATTTCTAATAATTCAGTCCTTATTGTACTAGGCAGTAAAGCCCTTATTGTTTAAAAGACCTAAAAAGGTTAGTTTTGTTCCTTGAGCCATAACTAAATGAGGAGTTAATTCAGTCTCTCTTGTTTGTCCCTGTGGTTTATATGCAGTAGATGCCCAATTAATGTCCAGTTGAATTTATTACAAAGCCAGACTTATTTCCTCCACCTGTCCACTTATTCAAAAAACAATTAGTACCACTAGACATCACTGGCTATATTAAGTGCTGAGCAGTACAAAGTTGAGTAAGATACGGTCTTATTCCCAGTTTTCCAGGAGAGAAAATTACCATAGAGTGTGGGCCAAATGATATAACAAAAGTGAGTGTGAACTTAGAGAAAGCAGAGTTTGGAGTGTCCAGAAAGGCTGCTTAGAAGAGGTGAGGTTTTAGTTGGGACCCAGAGGATGTCTAGGGTTTTTTCAGGCAGAAAATAGCAGGGAGGTATTCCATGCTGATGGGATGGCATATTCAAAGATATGAATTCATGAAAGATCAAGTGTACTAAGAAAAGGTTAAGTCCTTGGTGTGACTGGAGCATTGGATGCTCCTGGGAGGGGCCTCTCATGTGACTAGGCTGGGTAGGTCATCTGATCAGATAGTGAGGCTTATGTGACACATTGAGGGATGTAAATTTTTTTCTCAAGTCACTGGGGAGCCACTGAGGAGAAGGGCCATTAAGGCAGTGGAGATGAAGACATGAGAAGAGATTGAAAAGTTATGGGGATGTAGAGTTGGGAAGACTCAACGACAATTTGAATGTGGCAGTGAGGGAGTGGCAAAGGTAAAATATGACTAAGTAGAGGGAGGAGGAACTGAAAATTATATTTAGATCAGTTTCATTTTGACTCTTTGTTTTTTGTTTTGTATTGATTCTTATTTTTTTTCAGTGCCCAGGAACTCAGGGAACAAAGACATTTTAGAAATCAAGAAATAAGGTGTTATTTTTGGGAAATGGCTCAAAAGTGAAAATAGCACAATCTTCCCACAGTGAAGAAAGAAAGGAGTCATGAAAGTCATTGCTCATCAATTATTTATTAGATATTTTAATACAATTCATAATCTGCACATAGATTTTCTTGAGAAGAGTTTTCAGGTCTTAGGAGCTATAGATCAACAGTTCTGATCCCCTGGAATTTGCAAACATGTGACATATACTTTCTCTCTGTTTTATATAATCAGAAACTAGAAAGGTATTGAGTTGGAATGGGTTCATTCAGCTCTAGTGATAGGCACTATTGGACAGTCCCTCTGGTGTGGAATAAGAGCCTGGCATGGGAGATGTAGTAAACATCAGAGATGCACTCTATGTTCTCGGCTCTCCTAGCAGCCTTGAACTGAGTTTCATTCTAGTCTAGACTATGAGGCTTGAAATTCCTGATGTTTTATCCACAGGATCCAAAGCTCACCAAACCTACGGTTCCTATCCTTGGATGTAATATAAATCTTCAGAATATCTTTTCTGTTTCTGAACTTTAGGTAGAAGTGTTCTACTGTTCTACCTTTCAATGATTCAACCAGGTCTCAGAAGTCAAAGCAGGAAATGATTTAAATACCCAAACTGATCAACATTAAGATATGATTATTTCACCCAATTTACCACCTAGATTTCACTGAATCAGAAAACCCTAGAATTGCTGCTCAAAAAACCAAAAAGCCCTTACATGAATACTAGTACTCAAAAACATCCTTGCAGGTAGATACAGCAGAGGATAGAGGGAAGAAATACATTCTTGATCTTTTAAGTAGAATTAAAGGTGAACTCAACATATAGGTTTCTTTTTTGCCTTTGTGTTGCTTTACCTCTGGTGCTCACATAGACTAGTATCGATAGGATTTCTGCTCTTGCACATAGTCATAGAGGGGGTTGGGAACAGTAGCTGCCTTGATAGGGTGACCACGCTGTTCTCTGCTTTGGGGCCTCCCACTGCTCTGGGTTGGATAGAAGGATGGCTCAGTGTGTCTTTTCTGTGAACCTTGGCTCTGGTCATCCTCATTCATGTGGAATTTTTCTCTGTTAGGACAGCTTCTCTGGGTCACTTGGGATTTTTGATTCTGAGATCCTTGATATCTCTCTTTCTCCTCATAGTTTTGTCTATTATGTTGTTGCTGATGGTTTTGATCCTCTTCATGGGTTTGCCCATCTCGTCTTTGACTGTTCTGCCCATCTTCATGGGTTTGCCTGTCTCGTCTCTGACAGTTCTGCTCATCTTCATGGGTTTGCCTGTCTCGTCTCTGGTGGTTCTGCTCATCTTCATAGGTTTGCCTGTCTCGTCTCTGACAGTTCTGCTCATCTTCATGGGTTTGCCTGTCTTGTCTCTGGTGGTTCGGCTCATCTTCATGGGTTTGCCTGTCTCGTCTCTGATGGTTCTGCTCATCTTCAGGGGTTTGCCTGTCCTGTGTCCCACATGGACCTTCCTGACCCTCATGACTGTGTCTATCCCAACTTTGATGGCCCTGCTCTTCCTCTGCCCAGTGGCTCTGCCCCTCACCATGACTCTGCCTGGTCTTGGCCTGTCTGTGGCCCTGCTCATTACTGCATGATTGCCAGTCTCTCCCTTTGTGACACAGTGGTCTTTCTTGTTGGATGTGTGCTAAGAGTTTGTGTTGGTGGTGTTGGCTATCCTCTTCAGGCTCCCATACCTGGTGGATGTTCTCCTGTGAGTCCCTAGACTGGAATCCCTGTCCCTGGTTTTGGTACCCTTTCTGTCCTGGAGTCTGTTGACTTAGCCTCCCTGATCTTCCTGATTGCTCAACATAAGAGGCTTTTCTTGTTCCTTCGGTCCCTTGGAAGTACTTATTTTGCCCTTGTATTTCCCCAGTCTGTGATTGAACATAGCAGGAACTCTGGCCTTGTCTGTCTGTCTGACCATAATGATAACTCTGACTTTGTCTGTCTGTCTGACCACAATGGGAACTCTGGCCTTGTCTGTCTGTCTGACCATAATGATAACTCTGCCCTTGTCTGTCCATCTGACTGTAGTGGGAACTCTGGCCTTGTCTGTCTGTCTGACCATAGTGGGAACTCTGGCCTTGTCTGTCTGTCTGACCATAGTGGGAACTCTGGCCTTGTCTATTTGTCTGACCATAGTGGGGACTCTGGCTTTGTCTGTCTGTCTGACCATAGTGGGAACTCTGGCCTTGTCTGTCTGTCTGACCATAGTGGGAACTCGGGCCTTGTCTATTTGTCTGACTATAGTGGGGACTCTGGCTTTGTCTGTCTGTCTGACCATAGTGGGGACTCTGGCTTTGTCTGTCTGTCTGACCATAGTGGGAACTCTGGCCTTGTCTGTCTGTCTGACCATAATGGGAACTCTGGCCTTGTCTGTCCATCTGACTATAGTGGGAACTCTGGCCTTGTCTGTCTGTCTGACCATAGTGAGAACTTTGGCCTTGTCTGTCTGTCTGACCATAGTGGGAACTCTGGCCTTGTCTGTCTGTCTGACCATAGTGGAAACTCTGGCCTTGTCTGTCTGGCTGACTGTAGTGGGAACTCTGGCCTTGTCTGTCTGTCTGACCATACTGATAGCACTGGCCTTGTCTGTTCGTCTGACCATAGTGGGAACTCTGGCCTTGTCTGTCCATCTGATTGTAGTGGGAACTCTGGCCTTGTCTGTCCGTCTGACTGTAGTGGGAACTCTGGCCTTGTCTCTCTGTCTGACTGTAGTGGGAACTCTGGCCTTGTCTGTCCATCTGACCGTAGTGGGAACTCTGGTCTTGTCTGTCTGTCTGACCATAATGATAACTCTGGTCTTGTCTGTCCATCTGACCACAGCCTAATTCCTGACCCAGCCTCCCAGACTGTCCACAATAAGAGCCTGATTTCTGTTGATTTGTTCGGTTAAAGTGAGAGTCTTGTCCAAATGTTTCAGGCTGTTGTGCAAGTCTTTCAGACTGACCATAATGAGAATCCTGAACTGGTTTTTCACACCCATTTAAGGCAAAGATATGTCCCTGCCATTTAGTCTGGCCCCTGGTAGATTTGTGACTCACTTTTTTACCAGAACCAGAGCTGGAGTCTTGACTTTGTCTCTCTGACTGATCAAAGCTGAAATCCTTGTCTTGTCTCTCAGACTGATTGTGGTGAGAATCTCTGTCTTGTCTCTCAGGCTGACCGTGGTGAGAATCTCTGTCTTGTCTCTCAGGCTGACCGTGGTGAGAATCTCTGTCTTGTCTCTCAGGCTGACCATGGTGGGAATCTCTGTCTTGTCTCTCAGGCTGACCATGGTGGGAATCTCTGTCTTGTCTTTCAGGCTGACTGTGGTGGGAATCTCTGTCTTGTCTCTCAGCCTGACCGTGGTGGGAATCTCTGTCTTGTCTTTCAGGCTGACTGTGGTGGGAATCTCTGTCTTGTCTCTTAGGCTGACCATTGTGGGAATCTCTGTCTTGTCTCTCAGGCTGACCACTGTGGGAATCTCTGTCTTGTCTCTCAGACTGACTGTGGTGGGAGTTCTGCCTTTCTTCCTCGTGCCTCTGTCTGTGTTGTGTACCTGTGTTTCCTGGGAACTTACGGTCTTGTGCTCCTTCCTGCCCCCTTTCTTGCTGCGAGGTCCTGCCTCCATATGACTTATTGTCTAGCTTACGATAGCAGGCTTGGACCAACTGGAACACCAACAAGAGGTACTCATGAAAATCAACATGTCCATCTCGGTCTTGATCTAAGAGGTTCAAGATGGTTTCCACAGTCTCTGGGTCATTTGGTCTCTGTTAGGAGATAAAACAAAGAGCAAAATCAGATGCTTTCCTGTGCATACTAAGATGTGTATTAGTGTTCATGCCTCAATCCATTAGGTACTGCATGGACCTTCCTAGGTTGAAAAACCATTAATCTGAGGTGGTGTGGACTTGGCGCTAGTCTTTGATCAGTTGGTTCTCAGAACCTTGCTGGATCAATGGGAGCAGGGAGTAGATACACTTATTTAAAATCAGCTCCATTAGTAATTAATTTGATTCATTTCAAAGTTATCCCATTCCATCACAGGCTGTACCCTAGTTGTTTACCTCCTTTTTTTTCTCACTGCACTGTGAGATCCTAGAAGGAGGGGAAGCTGATTTTATTCATGTTTGTATCCCTTGTGCCTAGGGGCGTAGAGCAGGTGCTTAGTGACTCTTTATTGGTTGAATGAATGAATACATGAAAAGATGTGTGGATAGCACTAAAATATAGAAATCAAGGTATGAATCTTAGGTCTTCATCTGAGAAATTATTCCCTGTTACCTTGAAGTTATACTCCCTCCTGTTCAAACTCAGATACAAGGAGGTGTGTGTGTGTGTATGTGTGTGTGTGTGTGTGTGTGCGCGTGTTTGTGTGTATGCTGGGAGAGAACTACTAAGGAACTGCCTGAAATTCCTTTTGTTATAGGGTGGAGCAAGACCAAATAAAACAATGCATCCAACTCTGGTGCAGGTGTCAGAGTCATTCACACTTGATCCCATGGGGCTATGTGTCTGTGTATCTCACCTGGAGGATGTCTCCAAACTCAGCCAAGAGCAGTTGTTTCAACTCCTCCTTGCATAGTAAGGCACAGTCCCCATTCTCTTTGGCATATTTGTGAAACACCTTGATCACACTGAGTATGCTACTCAGGAGTTGAGCCATTTTGACAAATACAGGTGAACCTAAAAGAAGAAACAAGATTTCTCCTGCCCTTAGGATAATGACCATGAGACAGCATTTCCACAGGGAAAGTGAACCCTCTGGATCTGGGAAAAAGTTTAAGAAGTGAGAGAGCCCCTTCTTAGCTGTACCCCTCCTTTGCCCTGACTCACAGTCAGGGACCAAATATCATTGCTATAATGGGAGATGGTGCAAACTTGGTTCCCCTGCTATAAAAAGAGACAATTTCTTAAAAAACAAAAAATACATTGCAGGTGTTTTACATATCCCATCCTCTACTCCAGGTAGGATTCGCTTGATTGAAACTCTCATATCAGAACAAAAGGAAGGGAGGCCAGGAAGCCCAATAGAGGCAGGGCCAGAAGCTAGCATAGTAGGGCATAATTTTCGACTAACAACTAGCAAACTGGAGGGGGCACTAAACAGATCCCACTGAACAGGTTTCAGTCTTGTAACAAGCCTTTCTTAAGCAAGGAAGAAGGCTGAAAGTCTCTCTTCATGGTCTAAGGAAGCTTTCTGGGAGGCTAAATTCCAGCAAATGCTTCTGGCCTGGATGATTTTGGGACATGCTTATAAAATGAAATCAATGAACATAAAAGCTGTTACAGATAAAAATAGCAAGTGGGTACATAGCCAAATTAAGGGCACAGATTATAGGAGGTATATATAATCAGTTAGGTCCACATTGGCCATGCTGGGAGACTTGGGTCTTTTGGGATCTAAATCTCAATTACATTTTTTTCTTGCGGTATGAAAATTCCAATTAGTGGGTTTATAGGCCTCCAAACTGAAGCCCTATCTGCAGAGCACATTGAACTGCCCAAAGCATACAAACAGTGATGTCTATAAGAATAAGTGACAAATAATGGATCACATGGGACAAGCTGAGTCCCTTGTTGTAATTCAATGCAATGAGACTTGAGCATTGCTGGGTCCATGGTCCTGGGCCTTGGCCCTAAATTATTAGGTCTTTCCTAACTTGCACAAAAAGTAAATGCTCCACTATGGGAGACTAAGCTATTCATCAGTAGTTACAGCCCTCAGTTTTGGGATGCCTAGGACACATTGAAGTGAAGGCACTTGCATTTCACAGGCACAGAAGTAGTCCATCCAAGCTATTGTCATATTCTCAGATAGAGGCAGAGAAAGGAAGCAGAAGGTAACCAAGGCTATTACCCACAAAAATTAGTCTCAGTCCTCCCCAGCCTGGTGCATTATAGGGCACTTGAGAGCCTTGTAGATACTACCAATGCTCCCCCATGCATATCTTACCTGCTTGAGGAGGAAGGAGCAGAAGATTCAGGAGTCAGAGAGGATATTGGAAACCTAAAAACTCATCCTATTTATAGGAGTTTTAATTATCCTACCAGGCCATCCCAGGAGACACCCATTCTGTGGCAAAGCCTGAATCACTGTGGTCCCAGCCCAGCTCAGCCCAGCTTGACCTCTCCCTCTGCAAACCGTTTGGTTTATTTACTTCCCCCACTTGCTCATGAACCTGTTTGTCACTACAGTAGGTGACACTGTTTAAGTCCCAGCCCCATTTAATTAGGAGGATGTGTTTGTGTGTGTATATATTTGTGCTGTGAGGGTCCTGAAAGACAGAGGTGTTGGCTGAGTTCATCCTTAATATATGTCACTTGCCAATACTAATAGAGGGCAACAGTCAACTCATACTGAAGAAGGATATCTACATGGTCACTTACAAACATATGTCAAAGTTGGAACTAGAGATTCTATTTATTTGGCCAGAATATAGTCCCTGGAAGAGGTTTCTTTTAGACTAACCTTTTTCTTGTGCTGGTAGATATTTGGATATTAACCTATTAACTTATTTTGAATTACGATTATTTTTCATTTAACAACTCCACAGGCTAGTTGGGAGAAGTAGACACATAGTCAGTTTTGGGGATGAGGGGTGCTAATGGTGGAAATTCTACCACTTAAGCCTTCTAAGACTTACTACTGAAAAGTTTGAGTTGAGGGACAACATGGAGGTTTATGATATCTGTGAGACAGAAATGCTGCTAGAGACCCCAGCTTCTGTTCATTTCCCATCTCCATGCCCTTAGATGCCAGCACAGTATCTTGAGCATGGGAGATTCTTAGTAAATATTTTTGGGGTAAATGAATTACTGGATTATGGAAGCACTGAAGAATCTTATGTAAGGTGCAAAAAACTGTAGACTCACCTGTATTTCAACATTAGTCTCACATCTAGATCCCTGTTTGGACCTTTTCCTATGTATCCATCAGCCAATCTGTTAATTTTAATAACACTTGCTATTATTTACTGTGTGTTCAGGATTCTACAAGGGAATCACAACAGTGCAGAAAGATTTTAGTTCAGTTGGAATAAAGAAGCTTCGCATAGAAAAATACTTTGAACTCCAGGGATAGGACATGCTAAGTGCTGAGTATTAGAAACCTAGGCGCATGTGCAGTCCTTGTGGCTGGGCCTGGACGTCCCTTAGGAGGTGAGCTTCATGTTGTTCCTGAAAGGATTCAGGTGGGCAGAGAAGAAAGCAAAGGACTTCTGAGTGGGGAGAAGGGAAGAATCAAATGTACTAAGGTGAGAGTTTATATGTTGTGTTTGGATTCAAGTGAGCTGGTAAGTCTGGGTTGAGCAGAGGGATTTAGAAGAGTAGACTTAGAAAATTTTGGATCTGAAAGAGAAATCTAGCCTTAGCTTCTGAATTTTTCAGATAAGGAAACTGAGGTTCAGCTAGGTTGAGTGTATTTGCCAAGGGTTTCACGGGCTATGACTAAAGCGAGGCCTAGTTTACTTGTTTCCTCACTCTAGCCCGATATGCTTTCTGAGACATTCTCTGAGGCAGATTTGGGGCCTACTTTATGGTTTGTTTTAATGAGAAAGGAGAAGCAGGGTTTTGGTCAGGAAAAGTGACATAATCAAAGCATTGTTTAGAGGAAGAATCTAATGGCTCTGTTGTAGGTGGTCAGATGTCTCAGTTTGTCTGGGACTAAGGAGTTTCCCAGGACATGAGACTTTCAGTGGGATAGTTCTGGGCAATCTGGACCAAGTTGGTCACCCTAAACTGTGGTGTACAAAATGAATTGGAAAGAGGAGTACTGGGCAGTGAGGCCAGTTAGGAGTCTATGATATGGCACGGGTGAGAAGTGACAAGGACTTTGACCTGGATGCAGTAGTTCAAAACTATAGGAAGGTAGATGGATAATAGCAGGAATAAAGGGATGAGGTCTGGGGACAGATTAGAAGAGGGGCAGGGAAAGTGGGAACACTAGGTGAGATTCCAAGTCTTTAAGTCTAGATAACTAGTAGAACTATGGTACACTGAAGAAATGTAACTTCTGAAGGGGGACTGATGGGTCTAAGATCCAGTGCTTCTATTGGCATTTCCCAGGTCTGCCTTTTGTAGTCTTGTTATACTCCCTCCAGCTTGCACCCTTAGCTGTCTGGGGTCTCCCAGCACAGGTCAGGACTTTCTTAAGTCTGTTCATAAATTCTGAGAGCTGGGTCACATTAAGGTTCTCCTTATACTTTTGCGTCTCTACTTAGTGCTCTTCAGTTATGTCTCTTCTCACCTGTTAGAATAAAAGAACTAGGGAGGATTTGGTTGTCCCCAGAGGCAAATAAGAGGAGTGGGGGTGGGATGGGCAGGGGTTGAAGACAATAGCCATCGTGACACAGAACGACAATATTGTGTCCCCTTTCTCTTGGCATGTTCCGTGGCTCTCTAGCAACTGTTTCTTTTGGTTAGACGGGAAGTTCTCTTTGTTTGATGCTGCAGTGAGAGAAAGAGTGTGTTCTTAAGAGTTGGATCTGCTATGTGTGCATTCATTTAACACTTAATACATTCTGATAGAATAGGCAGAGAACTATGTAGATCAGCCAGTCAGTTAATCAATTAGTATTTGTGACCATACAGAGGGCACCCTTTGTGGGCACTGAGATAAAATGTAGTCTTTGTCCTTAAAGAACTTTCAATGTCACTGGGATTGAAAATTCAGTCTCACTGGGATACACAAGATCTTTTTCTGTGGTTCAAATTGCTTCACAGGTATTACTGCCATTGATAGAGTAGAGAGGGGTTGAATAGAGGGAAGAAGGGGGAGGCCACAGGGCTAGAAATAAAACACCTTTGAAGGAATCATCAAATGTGACCTTTGTTTCTTTATCTGTAAAAGGAGAGAGTTGGAGCTTTCTTTTGGCATTGGCATTCTGAGATTCTGTCATGCCAATCTTAAGGTTAGCAATGGCTTTAGAGGTCATATTTAAACATTGCTCTATTCAGATATTTGATAAAGCCCTCAGAAATTTGTGCTTCTCAGTCTTTCTCTGTGGAAAATGGAGAGGTCAATTATGGGTGTCCTGTGTCTTCATTAACATTTATAAATTTCATGAGGACCTACACTATTTTTAAAAATTATTTTTCAATGTGTTTCGCAGCTTTAAATGCAGTCGTGTTGTGTGACCTTTGGTCTCAAAGGCAAGCTGTTTTAAGCTACAATTTATTGAAGTCTTATTGTGTGCTAGGCTCTGCGTTAAGCATTTTATATATATTATCTCCTTAAAAATAATTTCAATTTTTATTTCATATTCCATGGGTATATGTGAAGGTTTATTACATGGGTACACTGCTTGGTGTTGTGCTTTGGGATATGAATAATCCCATTGCCCAAATAGTGAGCATAGCACCCAGTAGTTTTTCAACTCTTTCTCCCCTCTTCCCCCTTCTAGGAGTCCCCAGTGTCTATTGTTGTCATCATTATGTCCCGGAGTACCCGATATTTAGCTCCCACTTATAAGTGAGAATATGTGGTATTTGGTTTTCTGCTCCTGCACTAATTTGCCTAGGATAATGGCCTCCAGCTGCATCTTATGCACCTGACAAAGGTCTAATATTCCAAATCTATAAGAAACTTATTATCTTGTTTAATGCCCACAGAAACTCCATGAGGCAGAGAATGTTGTTTTCATTTTTTGAACAAGGACACTGGGCCTCAGAGAAGGATAAGTAACTCGCTGAAGGTCACACAACCTGCAACTGGCTGAGCTGAGGTTTGAACTCATGTCTTCCTAATTCCAAAGCCCTTGTTTGCAGCCCCTATGTTATGTTGCCTCTTTTGGAACAGGACTGGTGATTACTCCCTCCCCAGTGAGAGAAATAACTTTCCACATAGACTGAAGTGAGTAATACCAGGGTAACTTCCTTATGACATATTGTGAAGGAATCTGACCTTGAAATGAGAATCTCCTGACCTTTAACCAGTCAAATATTTATTATTTTCTTATGTTTCTCCAGAACTTAGATGGTTTCAACACTAAAGGACCTTGTAATCTATTTGGGGAGATAAGCCAGATGCTTCTATTTACAGAAACGAAACCCACAGAGAAAAAGAATACCCTTCTCTCTTTACAATTGACTGCTCTGGGCACTGGTTTGACATGAGACTGAAGAAGTTCCATTTGTTGCCCATTCCCTGCAGTTCTTGATCTTATTGTAAGCCTTTGCTGTCCATTTCCCTTGGGATGCAGATGTGCCTAGTGGGTGTGGCAGGTACTGTTTTGAGCTAATGGACTTTTCAGGGAGTCTCCTTGTCATATTTTGGCCAAATCATTAAGAATAATTATCATGGAACTCTCAGACTTCCTTTTTCCTTCTTTTGAGATGTTGGGTGTCTATTGAGATTAATCCTACGGATTCAGAGGATGGCTATTGTATTACAAAGGAAGACCCCTGTGTAATGCTGGGGCAGGCACTTTTTTCCTGCTTGTCCCTTTGGCATTAAGCAGGTGGATAAACTGCAGATGTGGCAAATGAACACCTTCCCCTGGAGAGGAGCGCAGCTAATTAGTAGACATAAAACCCTTTGAGATCTCTAGATATTGAAAGGTCATTTATTATCATCTGCACAAATAAGTTCCCATTTAAAAATCTTTTCTCGTAGGTGAATTACCGTCCTGTTAATTATAGGCCGTTTCCCTTTTAATAACATCTGTGGGAGTCAATGGTTTATGAAGGTAACTCTGGTATCAGCAATATTTTTACTCTGTCAGAAAATGTGTTCTGAGCCCAAGGAACGAAGCCTAGGTTTCCTGGGGATTGAGTGCACAGGTTTCAGTCTGGAGCTGTGCTCCTCCTCCCCAGCTAGCAGCCCAGCCTTTTCTTCTACTGTAGGCTTTTGTTTTTGGATACAAGAGCCAGCATTGCTCCTCTCCCCAAGATCACAGGCCATATCTTCCCCACAATGAAATGAACTAGGAAGTGTCAGAAATCACTGCTAACACAGCCCATGGAATTTTAGGTAATTCCTA